ACTTCAACACTCCACTAAATGATCTGGATAGATCCTCCAAACAGAAAATAAGCAAAGAAATAATGGACCTGAACAGAGCCCTTAATCAAAAAGGTCTGACAGATCTCTACAGAACATTCCATCCGAATAAACTTGAATTTACATTCTTCTCGGCAGCCCATGGATCCTTCTCCAAAATTGATCACATCCTAGGCTGCAAATGAGATCTCAAAAAATTCATGCAAATAGAGATTATACCTTGTATCTTTTCTGACCATAGTGGTATAAAATTACAGTTCAATTCCTATAGTAGCAATCAATACCTCACAAAATCATGGAAATTAAACAATCTATGATTCAAAAATTATTGGGTCAAGGAAGAAATTCAGAGGGAAATCAAGAGTTTCCTCAAACAAAATGATAATGGTGATACTTGTTACCAAAACCTGAGGGATACAGCAAAAGCTTACCAGAGAGGAAAACTAATAGCAATCAATGCTCACATTCAAAAAACAGAAAGCTTAGATGCTAACAACCTAATGGATAGGCTCAAAGAATTAGAAAAAGAAGAGCAAACAATTTCCAATCCTAATAGAAGAAAAGAAATAACGAAGATGAAAGTAGAACTTAATGAAAGGGAGAACAAGAAAACTATACTAAAGATCAACAAAACCAGAAGCCGGTTTTTCAAAAAGATAAACAAAATTGATGGCCCTCTTGCTAGATTGACAAGGACTCTAATAAACTCAATAAGAAATGAAAAAGGAGCGATTACAACAGACACCACAGAAATACAAAACATTATATTTGACTACTATAAAAAACTATATGCCCCAAAACTACAGAATGAAGATGAAATGGACAAATTCCTGGATTCATACAACCTCCCTAAGTTTACTCAGGAAGTAACAGAATTCCTGAATAGACCAATCTCAAGCTCATAAATTGAAGCAGTAATTAAAAACTTCCACAAACAGAAAAGTCCCAGGCCAGATGGCTACACTTCAGAGTTCTAGCAAACATACAAAGATGAACTCATACCTATACTACAGAAACTATTCCACACCATTGAGAAGGATGATATCCTTCCTAACTTATTCTACGAAGCCAATATCACCTTGATACCAAAGCCACAAAAGGACGCAACGAAAAAAGAAAATTACAGACCGATATCGCTCATGAATATAGATGCAAAAATCCTAAAGAAAATTTTAGCAAAGAGAATTCAGCAGCACATCAAAAAAATAATTCACCATGACCAGGTGGGCTTTACTGCAGGGATGCAAGGCTGGTTCAACATATGTAAGTCTATAAATGCAATTCACTTCATAAATAAAATCAAGAACAAAGACCATATGATTCTGTCAATAGATGCAGAAAAAGCATTAGACAAAGTCCAACTCACCTTTATGATAAAAACTCTTAACAAAATAGGCATAGACAGCTCATACCTTAAATTTATCAAATCCATGTATGACAAACCCACTGCTAATATTCTAAATGGGGAAAAATTGAAATCATTCCCTCTTCAAACTGGAACTAGACAAGGATGCCCACTATCTCCTCTTTTATTCAACATAGTGCTCGAAGTCCTAGCTATAGCAATAAGGCAAGAGAGGGGTATTAAGGGCATTCAACTGGGGGCAGATGAGATCAAACTCTCGCTCTTCGCCGATGATATGATTGTATACCTAGAAAACCCCATGGACTCATCCAAGAGACTCCTAGATTTAATAAATGAATTTGGTAAAGTTTCAGTTTATAAAATCAATATACACTAATCAGAAGCATTCATATATGCCAAGAACGATCAAGTAGAAACTCAAATCAAAACTGCAATACCTTTTACTACAGCCCCAAAGAAAATTAAATATCTAGGAGTATACTTAATGAAGATACGAAAGATTTATACAAGGAGAACTATGAAACCCTAAAAAAGAAATTGCAGATGATTTAAACAGATGGAAAAATCTACCTTGTTCATGGATTGCTGGAATCAATATTGTTAAAATGTCAATATTACCTAAAGTGATCTACAGAATTAATGCAATCCCCATCAAAATACCACCAGCATTCTTTACAGAACTAGAAAAAATAATTCTTCACTTTGTATGGAACCAAAATAAACCTTGTATAGCCAAAGCAATCTTAAGTAAAAAGAACAAACTAGGAGGCATCAGTCTTCCTGACTTCAAGCTGTACTATAAAGCAATAATAGTTAAATCAGCCTGGTATTGGCACAAGAACAGAAGCATCGATATCTGGAATAGATCTGAGATACCAGAGATGAAACCGTCAGTATACAGTAACCTAATCTTTGATAAGCAGACAAAAATATACAATGGGGAAAAGAATCCCTCTTCAATAAATGGTGCTGGGAAAAGTGGTTAGCTACATGCAGAAGATTGAACCAGGATCCCTACCTCTCACCTCTCACAAAAATTCACTCAAGATGGATAACAGACTTAAACCTAAGGCATGAAACCTTAAGAATCCTAGAAGATGATGTTGGGAAAACCCTATCAGATATTGGTCTAGGCAAAGAATTTTTGAGGAAGACCCCCAAGGCAATAGCCGCAGCAGGAAAAATAAACAAATGGGATCTGATCAAATTAAAAAGTTTCTGCACAGCCAAGGAAACTTTCATTAGAGCAAACAGATAACCCATAGAATGGTAGAAAATATTTGCTCTCTACATTTCTGATAAAGGTCTAATAACAAGAATCTATCTAGAACTTAAAAGAATTAACAAGAAAAAAATCAAACAACCCCATCAAGAAATGGGCAACGGAAATGAACAGAAACTTTTCCAAAGAAGACAGAATAACAGCCTGCAAACATATAAAAAAATGCTCAACATCTCTAATCATCAGAGAAATGCAAATCAAAACCACAATAAGATATCACCTAACCCCAGCGAGAATGGCCTGTATCAAAAAATCCCAAAACAACAAATGCTGGTGAGGATGTGGAGAGACAAGAACACTCCTACACTACTGGTGGGACTGCAAATTAGTGCAACCTTTGTGGAAAAGAATTTGGAGATACCGCAAACAGCTAGAAATAGAAAAAGCTATTTCTAGAAATAGAATTACCATTCGACCCTGCAATAGCATTGTTAGACATCTACCCAAAAGAGCATAAGACATTCTATTATAAAGATATCAGCACCCGAATGTTTACGGCAGCACAATTCACTATTGCAAGGTCATGGGAACAACCCAAGTGCCCATCAATTCAGGAGTGAATAATTAAAATTTGGTATATGCTCACAATGGAATATTACTCAATTCTAAGAAAGGACAGTGAGCTAGCACCGTTTATGTTATCCTGGATTAAGCTTAAGCCTGTTATCCAAAGTGAGGCAACACAAGACCAGGAAAATGGGCTCCACATCTACTCGCCATCAAATTGGTACTGACTGATTAAAACTATGGTACTCAAATGGTGGTAGTACTCACCAGGGATTGGGGGGTTGGGGGGAGATCCACATCCTAGGGATATGGCAAGCATTGTGGGGGGAAGGGAATACCTCTAACCCTTCTTAGGGAGAAGCAAAGATATACAATGTAACCAAAATGTCAAAAAAGAAAAAACACCAACTTTTATTGGGTGGTGGGCAGGTGGGGGGGAAAAAGGTGTATACTTACATAATGGGTGTGGTATGCACCACCTGGGGGTTGGACACGCTTGAAGCTCTGGCATGGTGGGCGGGGGGGGGGAGCAGGGGCAATATATGTAACCCTAACAATATCTGTACCCCCATAATATAAAGAAATAAAAGGGAAAAAAATTTCTTAGTGCTTTAAAGTTTGTGTGTGTGTTTGTATCAATAAAGCATTTCTTGGTTTAACAGATAAAAATATGGTGGAAAATTTCTAAGTCTGATGAAAAGAGGCTGATATAATGGGGTATAGTACTCTAAGTAGTTGCAAAGGAAGGACTAAACCAGGTGTTAAATCTGAAGATGGGTGGTATGTATATCCCAGACCATGATAAAGGCATTGGTTGTTAAGATAGCTCACGATGGTCCATGATATAGAGCAAATCTGTACATAGCATGCTGAGGTTCAATTACACAAGGCTTTTGCCTGGAAAGCAATAGTGATGGTAGGGATAAGCTTTTTAATTACAGGCCTTGGTATTGTGTTTATGTTCCCTGGAGTCTGACAGCATGGCAACACTATCACAGGAGTCATGGAACCTAGAAGCAAGAAACAGTTGCTGAAGTCTGTAATTCATCTTACCTTTAAGATGGGACAGGATATCCTGTGTGGATTGGGAACCACCTAAATTAAAATCACCCAGGGTGATGGATTTTTACATCCCCAGCCTAGACCTACTGAGTAAGAATCTCTCAGGTGAAGCCCAGGAATTTGGATTTTTACAGCTCCAAGGTCATTTTTAGCCATATTAATATGTGAAAGTCAATGGTCTATACTGTCCAAAATAGTAGCCACTATCTATATGGGCTGTTAAATTTAAATCAGTCAAAATTAAATAATATTTAAAATTCATTCTTTAGTTGTACTAACCACATTTCAAGTGCTTAATAGCCACATATGGGATTTGACAGCATAGGACATTTCTATCATTGCAGAAAGTTCTATTAGTGCTGGTCTAGACTTTGTATTTCAGGCAAAGATATTTAATTATCCTAAGGCTGGCAATGGAGGGGGAATTTCTTTAACACTAGATTTTGGAGAGTAATGCACATAATTTTAATCTGTGTAAAATGCATGTGCCTGCACAGGGTGCAGAGGTTGCTTCCTGGGCAGTGAGATTAGGACACCGCAAATGAAAGAAAAGAGGAGACCACTTTTCATTAACCTGTTTTGGCAGGGTTGGTTTGGCGCAACCATAGTGAAGCAAACAGGTTTTCTTACCTACAAGATCAGGAAGAGGAAAGTCTCGGAAAAATGGCCTCATAATAAATAACAGGGTTATTCTTTCCATCTTTGGAACCCTGGATTCAAAACCTGAATTCAAAGAGTTGTGTACATGGATTAAACAAACTCTACCTTTGCTCTTCGGGAGGAGCAATACTCTATCCAGTTGAGGTAAATCACACAGAAACTCTCCCTGGATATGCCTGCTAGTCGGTGGTCATAGTCTTCGTCAATGTTTGGATTAAATGTTGGGTCCACGTCGACGTAATTACGATCTGCACACAGACGTAGTCCTTCCTGCATTGTCTCATTAGCTAGCCACTCCTCTAACTTAGAGGAGGTTGTAACATAATAAATGATACCCTAATGTGGACAAGAGGAAAAAAATCAGGTTAAATCACAATTCGAATTATCTCCAATGCCTCAGTGAAATAAATTCCAATTGTTTCTAATGGTAGTATAACTCAAAAATATTTCACTTTAGGTCAATATTCTATAATATATATTTTAAGAATGTTATAACAAAATACTTCAGGCCTTCCTGGATGAAAACACATATCATACTTTAAAATAAAAACCATAAATTCGGCAAGGCAACTTCAAAACAATTCTAGTATATTGATTTTAGAGCTTTTGAATTTAGGATATTTTAAGAGGTGAAAAAAAGTTACTATGGTGCATTTATTTTAAATAATTTTTCATGGAAAGTCATTCAAATTTCTAGTAATCCCAGGTCAACTTACAGAAATATAGCTAACAATAAAGCAACAGAAAATACGTATTTATGTATTTAGAACTAGAGACAGAAAACATTTGCACACGTGCACACACATAAAAAAAGGTTGTAAAATCAATCTCTCTCGCTTCTTGAGGTTGGGTTTAAGCAAACATTAAATGGAAAGCTCAAGGTTCATTTCCCCCTATCAGCACAAACAAGGTGGTAGGTAGAGGTAATAACATAAGATATGGAAAATTCAGCTATGGATCACTAAAGCTTAGCACACATATTTTAAAGATATTGGCTTCGCCTATAAGCCTCCAAATCACAACTATGCTGCATTTCTGTAAACTTTCAGGCAAAAATAAAATAATCTTGTGCAGTAAAAGACTAGCTTTGCCTAATACAAAGTTTGTCCTTTGTCCTTGGGTCTCAGGAGGTAAACACTAAGCGCTTGGAATGTCCTGCCTGATAAGACAGTCTTTGCTCAACTGGGAGCCTAGAGCCATGCAGTATCAACATGACCTTTGGAGGTCCTGGAGACTTATGTCACGGTCAACCATGTCTACATGACTACACCCGGTAAAGACTCAGGATACCAATCTCAGTCAAGATTCCTCCATTGGCAATACCCTGTGAGTCTAGCCATGCCTGGTTGCTGGGAGAAACAGGCATCTGTACAACTCCACTGGGAGAAGACAACTGGAAACTCCTAACCTTGGTGGCTCTGGACAATGTCCTAGGTACCTCTTCCCTTGGCTGATTTTAATCTGTATCCTTCCATAGTAATAACATGAGTATAATGTGAGTAGAACAACTTTGCTGAGCTCTGTGGATCTTTCTTAGCACGTTACAGAACCTATGGGTGCTCTTGGGAACCCAGAAATTGCAGCTGGTGTCAGAAAGGAGGGTGGTCTTGGGGACCTCCCAAACTTTGCGATACTTTATTCAGTTTGTTGAAAATAGTACAAAGTAGTGGTTAACAGGAAGGGCTTAGGAGTGAGACAACCCTGGGTTTTAAATCCCAAACTCCACTTCCTAGTTAGAGAACCTTAGGCAAGTTAACTTCTGATCCTTAAATTATCTGTAAAACAAGGAAGTAATAACACTTATTCACAGAATTAAGTTAAATACACGTGTGTGTGTGTATACATATGTATGTATATATTCCTTAGCACAGTGTCTAAAACATGTAAGTTACAAATACTAGCTACTATTATTAATGACTGCATGAAAAGAATTCTAGTAAAGAAAGAAACAGCAAGACTTTTGTATGTATATTTTTACTGACTTTTCTGGATCCTAGAGAATTTAAATCACTACTTAGAAGCAAAGCACAAGGAAAAAAGATATATATATCTTTCCTAATAAGGGACTCCGATTATCTGAAGATGTAAGTAAGGCACATATCCTTACCTTAACATAGTAAGTGGTGAGTACTTTCCGAAGATCAAAGACTTGAAGCATAGAAGCAGCACTATTGTCAGTGATACTATAACCCTCCAGAATATACTTAGTGACTATCACTTCCCAAGCTAGCCAGCGCTGGCTAAATGCAGCATTGAATGAAAGCACGTGAGGAATATGGCCGGGTTCACAACAGCAAAATCCTTCATCTTCCTCTACGCCTTCAGTAATGGCCTCTACTTCCCGTTGTTGACAGTAGGTACCTTAAAAAGAGAAAGAGACAGGAACAGAGACCATTACAAAGGGGAAAAAATGACGAAATAGAAAAAAAATGAATACATCAAGGACATGAGAGATTTACAAAACAGACACATTTTACAGCAATTGAAAGTATATGATTGATTTACTTCAGAATATTTATTAATGAATTGTAGCAAACTCCAGAAATCAGGCATTCAGTATATTCATCTCCTGCAGAATTACAATGTACATTACCACATTAAAAGTTCTGGAAATCTGTAAAGTAACCTTTGTAATTTTGACTCATTGATTTCCAAACTTTTCAAATGAGTTTACAATTGCATTCATATCAAATTAAGGACTTGCAAAGAGTAAAGGCACATCTCCTGAAGGCTTAATTAAAAACAGGAAAAAAAACCCCAGCAGAACAAAAACTGAATCAAACCAGACACACAGAAAGATAGATACACATGCAAAACTCAGAATCTGAGCTCCATTTACCAGTATCATGTCTATGCTGCAAGCAGAAATATTACATACATCCTGTTTATTTGGCTATATAACTCGCAAGGGTTTATTATAATTTAATATTAAAGACACAATTAAAATTTTTTCTCTTCCAAATTCCAACAATAATTATATAAGATTACCTTACTGGTGTTTTAGGCATACATACCTATAAAGTTCCAATTAAGTATAAGGTCTGATTATTTTGCACTAACAAACAAATCCTTGAAGTTATTCTTTTACACAAAATACTTACCAAAAAGGAAATTACTGAATTAGTGTTACTGAAGTAAAAATACAAACACCGATTAAATATAGAATTAGACCCACAGCAATCTCATGCCAACAAAATATCATTTGTTAATGTTAATTTTTATTTTGTTCTGTGGTCTTGCTTCCATTTAATTTGTAAATTCCTTATATTATATGAAGACTATAAAGCAATTATACTTAATTGTATATAGGCACATATTTAAGTTATACTAAATAACTTAAATCAGACTACACTAATTTTCATCCTTTAAAAAGTATACATACACAATCCACATTTGAAAAACACGACTTTGAAAGAAACTGATGCCATGAAATCTAGCCTCAGATGATAGTGGTAGTGTGGTGGTACAATGAAAGATCTGGCTAAACAGGTTATTCCTGCCAAGCTAAGAAGCTGTACTGTTTAGCACTTTAGAACCCTCAACAATTCTATTATTTCATTTTCTTGTTTAATCATGTTAGCCAAGACATCCATAATAATGTTATAGGTGTTGAGAACAAAAACTCTTGTCTTGAACCTGACATTAACAGGAATACACGCTGTTTGTTACACTTTACAGGTATTGTGCTTTTTACCTATTAAAGGTTTGTGACAATGCTGCATGGAGCAAGTCTTTTGGTGCCATTTTTCCAACAGCATGTGCTGACTTTCTGTCTCTGGATTATTTTGGTAATTCTCACAGTATGTCAACGCTTTTATTTATTTATTTATTTATTTTTTTACTTTTTGTAGAGATGGGGTCTAGCTATGTTGTTCAGGCTAGTCTCAAACTCTTGGCCTCAAGTCATGCTCCTGCCTTGGCCTCCCAAAGTGCTGGGATTATAGGGATGAGCCACTGAGCCTGGGCAATAAAGTATTTTTAAATTAAGGCATGGTCATTGTTTTTTTCTTTTTAAGACATAATGCTATTACGCATTTAAATAGACTGCAATACAATGTAAACATAACTTTCATATGCACTAGAAAACCAAAAAATTGGTGTGACTTATTTTATTGAAATATTTGCTTTATTGCAGTGGTCTGGAATTGAACCTGCAACATCTCCAAGGTATGCCTGTACTTACATAGACATGTTTTTTTTTAAACATAATAAGGATGTGTGGAATTTTATGAAGTATCTTTTAAACTAATAATGGAAATAAAATTTAATCAAATGTTCTCTTGAATCTTTTGAGAGGATCATAATATATTTTCTCCTGTAACCTTTTCAAATAAAGTGAATTCTATTAATTTTCTTTCTAATACTCAAATTAATTTCAAAATGAAAAATGCCTGAATCTGTGAGGACTACTTTAAACAAAGTACCGCTGCTTTCTGTTTATTTCAGAATTGGAGATTTTTTGCATCTATAGTCACAAGTGAAATTAAAATAGAGTATTTTTACTCCTTTTTTCTTTTGAGACAAAGTCTCACTTTCTCACTCAGGCTAGAGTGCCGTGGCATCAGCCGAGGCCACAGCAACCTCAAACTCCTGGGCTCAAGCAATCCTTCTGCCTCAGCCTCCCTAGTAGCTGGGACTACTGGCATTAGCCAATAAGCCCAGCTAAATTTTTGTGTCTATTTTCAGTTGCTCCACTATTTTTTTTCTATTTTTAGTAGAGACAGTGTCCTTGTTCTTGCTCAGACTGCTCTCGAACTCCTGAGCTCAAGCAATCCACCAGCAGCCTCCGCCTCCCAGAGTGCTCGGATTACAGACATGAGGCACCAGCCCGGCCCAGAGTATTTTTTAAATGTCAGCTTAGTCATATTTTAGTATCAGTATTACATTAGTTTTTATAAAAGCCTCGAGGAATTTTGCTTCTTTATCATGTACTAGAACATGGGCAGAAGAATTATCCAATTTCTAGAAGAAACTTCCTAAGCTTGTTTTGTTTTGTTTTTTTTAAATTATGACATGAAATTGGAACTATTCCTTAGGTATTACATATTATTATACTTCATTTTATTTGTTTTCTTTCTGGGAAGTTGATCAAAGGTTTTGAAATGAGGAAATAACATAATGAGAGCTGTATTTTGTGCAGATCACTTTGTTTATGGTGTACAGAGATCTTATGTGGTAAGGATGAATTTAAAATTTTTGACATTTATTCAATGAGGTCCTTGTTCAGAGTACCAAAATAAGGTAAATGAGACAACAGAATTAAAGAGGGATGTTTTTACTCTACCATACTAACCTCAAGAATATTTTCAACCCTAACATACTCTAGTAATATATTTTTCTCAAAAAATAAAGTCAAGGCCGGGCGCTGTGGCTCACGCCTGTAATCCTAGCTCTTGGGAGGCCGAGGCGGGCGGATTGCTCAAGGTCAGGAGTTCAAAACCAGCCTGAGCAAGAGCGAGACCCCGTCTCTACTATAAACAGAAAGAAATTAATTGGCCAACTGATATATATATATAAAAAATTAGCCGGGCATAGTGGCACATGCCTGTAGTCCCAGCTACTCGGGAGGCTGAGGCAGAAGGATCACTCGAGCCCAGGAGTTTGAGGTTGCTGTGAGCTAGGCTGACGCCACGGCACTCACTCTAGCCTGGACAACAAAGTGAGACTCTGTCTCAAAAAAAAAAAAAAAAAAATAAAGTCAATAATAATTACAAAAATTAACATTAATAATTGAAAAAAGAATTCTGAGACTTGGAAAGATATTCTAGAGCATCTCTGAGGAACTATTAACAATTATATCCTAGATTAGTGAGACCTTTCAGCTATGTCACAGGAGATATTACTGATAAAAATAAATAAAACCTTCATGAAAACTAGACATGTTAAAATTAATCTGAGTAAAAATTCAAAGGAATCCAATCAGCATAATGAATTTTTGACCTGTAAAGTCTGACTTGGAAAATTGTACTTAGTAGAGGTAACACAAATAAAAAGCTAACATGGTAAAAGTTGTAATCAGAAAATTCTGGTATAGAGAAAAAAAGATTGATAAAGTTTTCACATAAAATTTACATGGAAAAGAATCTTGAGAGTATCAGTAAACTAAAAAAAGAAATGAAAAAATATGAATGGGTTTAACTAGTACCTATAGGAAATTGGTCAAAAAATTTCTTTAAACACTGCTTAAGATTAAGCATCCAACACAATAGACAAATATCGAAAAGATTAAATTGACTTAATGGAGCATGTCTCAGAAATTACATAAAAATGCTCAGCAGATCCAAGTATCTACCTGGCAAAATAATGATATTCTTGATTAATATTCTAAGAGGGTAAGTAAGAACAGGGAATAACACCATAAAGAAAATAACCAAGGAGCACATCTACATTGGAGCAAGAACATAATCCTACCCTGTGAGCGCTCTGGAATGGGGACAAAGAACAAAAAGGCTATATACTTACATGATTTAATAATTCTACAAAATCAACAAAATATGTATTATATAGTAATTGCTCTGTGTGATAGGTGCTGGATAAAGAATGATGAACAGAGCAGATGTGAATCGCACCCTTGGGAATCCGCTTAGTCTAGAGCTGCAATCCCTAAACCCTGGGCCTGGGACTGCTAGGACCTGGGCTGCACATCAGGATGTCAGGGAGCTGTCAGGAGGTAGAGGAGGGGGGTAGTGGGGAGTGATGAGTGACAATGAAGCTTCCTCTATATTTCCAGCTGCTCCCCATTGCTCTCATCACAGCAATAAGCTCTGCCTCCTGTCAGATCAGCAGCGGCATTAGATTCTCACAGGAGGATGAACCCTACTGTAAATTGCGTATACAAGGGATCTAGGTTGCGCACACCTTATGAGACTCTAATAATGCCTGATGATCTGAGGTGGAGCTGAAGCAGTGATCTAGTGCTGGGGAGCAGCTACAAACACAGATTATCATTAGCAGATAGGTCTGACTGCACAATAAATGTAATGCACTTGAATCATCCTGAAACCATCCCTACCCCACACCCCTATCTGTGGAAAAACTGTCTTCCTTGAAACTGGTCCCTGGTGCCAAAAAGTTTGGGGACCACTGGTCTAGAGCAAAGCCTGACAAATTCAGCACCAGGCCAAATTCAAGCTAAGAATGGTTTTTATATTTTTAAAGGGTTGTTTGAAAGAAAAAACAACAAAGAAGAATATACAACAGAGACTGTGCATGGCTCCCCACTCCTAAAATATTTACTATTAAACATGTGGCTCCTAACAGAAAAAGTTTGTCAACCTCTGGGCTAGAAAAAAACTAAACAATAAACACAGTCATGTGTCACATAACCACAGGTTTAAATTCTGAGAAATACACTGTTAGGT